CAATGAGACTTGTGACAAGAGAGATTAACTTGGCTATCACATCCAGGGGCGGGGCTGCTGTAGACAAGTGAATTTCTCACCCACTTCTCTCTAGAATGGCAAAGAGGAGGAAAGGAGGCTTAAATGCTAAATTAAACAGCTTTAAATATGATTTAATGTATGCCTACCATTTTCAAAAGAAATAAGACAAACATGAAATAGATTAAAATTTTAGCTTAAATATTAGCTTAAAATTAAAAATTTAACTACTTTCCTAGGAAGGAGTTTCCACATCCCTCTCAAATTAGTGTTGAGAGCAGGTCTGACACTAACACAAACCGAGATGAAGTAACCACAGTAACCTTCATAATCGTGGAAGAAAAACATCTTACCTGCCCACAAAGACAGGAATGAAATGTCATTTATTTAATAATTACACAAGCATGATTACACTAAGAATACATCATGATACATGGAAAACTGTATGTCTAAAAAATATCCTCTTCTTTAAAAAATTTATATGAATTACATATAATGTTTCCATAAAACTATCTGTGGAAAACTAAAACTATTCTATACAATAGTTCTTAAAGTATTTAAAGGAAAGCTAGTATGTTCGGTATTTATACTTTTTTAAATACACAAATAATTAGTTTTCACTCAAAGATAAGAGCATAAATACTTTCTCCTGCTTTTCAATACTTAAAATATTGTTTGACAGAAAAAGATAATTTACTACAGTTCACTTCCCAAGATTCTATAAAGAAGAGAGAGGCTTTACTAGGGAAACAGCACAACCACTTGCTGAATAAGCAGCACCTGAAAGGAATATTATCACCCTTGCTTTACAAAATCAGTGAATTAATGCCTAGAGAAGTTACATGATTTGTTCAAGTTAGGTAGGTAAAAAATAGCAGAGCTGGGACTTAAATCCAAATCTGAATCCAAAATCTACTGTAGTACACTGCCCCCAAGCCTGTATCAACGCGTGCCTGAGACAAGCACAGGGAGGCCCACCAAAGGTCAATACTCTCTGAAAGCGATGGGGGAAAGCCAGGCTACATGCAGCTTCTGGCCAGTGAAGCTTGATGGAGCGCCATTCTATTACAGAAGAAGTATGAAGGAAAGTTAAACTTCTTCATCTATAGAAAGTCATTTTTCTTTTCTTTGCAAATATCACTTAAAATCACCTTTATAAAGAAAGTTTCTAGCCAATACTAAATCAATGTTCTGATCTTTTCATCATTCTACTTTCTTGAGATTTTAATACTCTCTTCTACTGCTATTCATGTCTCCATGACTGTCTTTTTTTTTTTTTTT